ACAGACCACTTTTTTTACTAAAATCGGTGCCAACAGTGGGGAAATAGTTAGCGGTGCACATTTCCAGTTTGAGAGTGTATAACTTAATTGATTGCTTTCATCAGATCGTTAAAATGTAAGACAGGTATGTGACACTCACCGATCACCATTATAAGTTGGCAATTAATGCAGTTGACATCTAACTTTCAGTAATGGATTATTCTTTTATTACAAAACATGGAATAAAATTGTTGTGATAGACACATTTTTACAAGTATGTAATTAAAGATATAGAAGTTTTTAAAATATTTTTAATAATGTAGATAACTAAGAGGGTAAATGTAATATGTTACTAAAGTACGTTAATTAATCTTAACTTTTGCAGAGAATTTAACATTGGTATAAAACAAAATGATTCACTTAATATCTTCACATTACGACCACAAAAAAACTAGTCTATATAAATTGAAGAATCACTAATGATGCAATAGTATCGTAAATATAAATGTACAAGGATGGTGAGGCGAGCGCATACCTGATTTTATGTATACGGTCATCTGTGAAGATTGGTCATTTCCGGAGTAGACCCACATTACATAACAGCAAGACTCTTAAAAGTTCTTCGTCTGAAATCTCTGCAAATGACTTTCCCTCGTGCAGCAAGAACTGTTCTTGTCCAATTGAGATCAGGATGTAGCCATGCGCTAACCCGACTCTTATTCCACATAAATACGTCAATCGTCTATATGGCCCAACTGCAGCTCAACTTTTCATATTGCCGATTTGCAGATGTTGCCGATTCCCAAAGGTATATATTAATTTGTGTCCCATTGATTAATGACTTATCCACTTGACTCAGTTGTAATAGTCATACCAATTTCTTCATTCATTCATGCTCTTGTACCGTTTGAGAACAACCTTGTTAGCATCAAATCTGTGTACAATCGATGGATACTGTAGCATTTCATACATACTCGTATGTTTATAAACATGTTTATATGCAATTGTTCGTACATTTCCACTTAGTTGCTTCACTAAACTGCATAGTTCATCAATAATTTATCGATATTGAAATTAAAAGGTCTCAATTACTTATTACTCAGAACTTTTTTTTAAACTTTTGTAATTTATAAGTAAATTTTCAAGTTTGTTAATTAAGTCTAACTGTATAATTAATTTATACTACAATTATAATTACAGTGATCATTCGTACCAAATTATCGTGTGTGAGTCTGGGCAATATGAAACTGATGAGAATTTTTAAATTGAAAATTCTCATACGATACGGTAACAGATAATACAAGTCAGTTAACATCATACAACAAGAATATCATAATTATTTCAAAAATAATTAGAATTTACAATTGGAGCAGCTGCCGTTTTTGTTGTTCCACAAGGTAAGTTGGTGCAATCGTGAAGATAATCTTTGTAATCAACATTATTATTTCAATCTATAAATATGTTTAATATGCATCAATTTTATTTTAATAAATTGTATTATAGAAGTGATTGTTTAATATCTAATTATATACTTAAGTCTTTTAATTTGCATAAATAGAAAACCATTCATTTTAATTAAAGTTGTGGTTGCCATAATCAATATTTTCCATATAATAATTATGAATGGCTAGTCTTAAGAAATTCTTAGAAATCTATCCACTTGAAATTGTGTAATTAATAAAAGATTAAATTAAATTAATGTAAATACTTTTACTTTTTATTGAATATTAAATGTAGTGTTAAAAACTATGTATATCACATTTTATTTGTCCCTTAACCACTGTTAAAGTTTTGAATAGTTCCACTAGAGGTAGCCTAGTCTATTATCTCTGGTTCCACCTTACCTTTGAAATTTTAAAAACTTTAAAACTCTATTAAAACAATTAAAAAACATATTTTTTATTTTATTAAATTTTGTGCCAGCACTTTGGTGGTTTTTTATTTAATTAAATTAATTTCGTAATTGAAATTCGCATTCCTGCAGCAGTTTTCCGCTGCACTCAGATATAATTTATGCTAGAGAACAATTTGAGTGACATTTTCATATTTATACTTAAATAGTTAACATCTAAGATAATTACAAGTACGTTTTAATTATTTAGTACAAACTAACACGGAACGTATACACAAGAGTAATCGCTTAAAATAGAAAAGTTTTTAGTTAATGTTTAGCTTATATTAGTAAGTGATGAGAAAATTACAAACTTTTATTTAAATAATTTCCTAATTTTTAATTTTTTTTTTTTTAAATAAAAATCATTTTAAAAGCTTAATGCACTGGGAAAATATTTTAGTGGAAAAGTTTTAAATAAATTGAGAAATTTTCACTAAACAGAAACTTTTGTGGCTATTTTAAATAATTAGTAAAAGAAAAATTTACAAATTTACAATTATATTTTTTACAATTCTTAAAAAAATTCTTCAAAATATTTGATAAAAATCTTCCAAGTAAAAAGTCTATAAGATGTTAGGTAAAGCTCATCTGGCTGATTGCTGAAAACATATGGCATTATTGGTTCCTAGTGATGCGAGAAGAAGCTAAGCTTTCACTTATATTTGTAGAAGATATAATATAGAAAGTAAATGATATTTACACATCAATTATGTGCATGAAGTTCTATTCTTAACACGTCTTCCAAGCTTTACACTACCAAGTTTAAGCTATTTTTAACAGACTTATTAAACAATCTTTAAGATTGTTATTATGTGGTATAAAAAACTTTATAATAAAACCTTATTTAATGTAAAAATAAATTTAATACATTTTTAGGACCCTAGAACATGATCTAACCGCGTAACCATGCAAACCAGCTTTTTTATTATTGCGAATAAAGAAAAGGGGTTTGCTTTATTAATAATATGTTGTTTAAGACCGCATCTAAACTTAATGATATACTACATACAAAGAGGTGAGAAAAGTAAATGTAGTTATTGAAAATATTTCAGTCACAGTAAAAGACACAATGGGTTATTACTTTTGGCTCATTTTCAGTTTATATGAATCCTCTTTCAAATTTAAGTAGTTAACACTCCGTCGAACATATGTCTTGACAGCACATTCGAGATTCGTGAACCTCGAACGGAGAGGTAAAAAGTTTTTTGAACTAGGATTAATGAGGGTATAAACTATCAGTAGAACGTATGTATATTACATTTTCTTTGAAATTGAACCAATTGAAAATATGAATGAACGGAAAAAATACATATTTTTTTTGCTTTGAGTAAGGATTTTGTCACTGTTTATCTAAGTATAGAGAAACATAAAGTATAATAAGTGACGCTTAGAGAGCATTAAAATAGAGAGAGCGTTAGAACAAAAATATTTCTAGTACAATTGGAAACTTAGTTTCATGTAAGCAACTTCATAAAAAACAGATATCAATAACAGAGTACACTTCTCTTTATGCAATAAGCAAGTAATACGAGCTTCCAGTACCGAAAGCTTTCTACAATACAGAAAAATAGATTGTTAGTTCTTTTTAAAAGAGTGAACAGCAGTATTGGAAAGTTATAAACAAATTTACATGCTAAGAAAAATTGTATTTGTTGGTGATATTACTCTTACTGCATATGTTCGGTTTCTCTCTAAAGATCCTCGCCATCTAAATCAATAATAAAACAATTAAAGATATTTTACTTACAATGAGCATATATATATATTTATATACATATAGTATTTTTATATTTAATCCTAGGCTTTTGGAATCAAATGATTAAAATGATATTTTAAAGCGAGGGTCCATTGTGGTAGAAAACGCAAAGAAATTTATGCTGGACAAATTTGGGGCCTACTTCTTCACTGACTCATAAATAAACAATTAAATCTCTGTTAAATTACCACTATTACGTTGACGTAAAGGAATCATTTAATATGCTACTTAGCTCCAACAAAGTAATATTAGCATTTTAGTTATTATACTTTAAATGATAGAGGTAAAGTATTACATAAATAGAATATAAAGAAAATACACATAGACATCAATCCTATGTAAGGAACAACTGGAGATGAGATTTTTTTTCGTTATTAAAGTCACATTTTATTAAATAGTTCTCTCAGCTAGTTAATTAGATGTTACTGTATTCCCTTTTTATAATAATTATTATTCAATAAATATTCAATGTGCTTATTTGATACGGCTCGTTTATCTATGGCTCGAAAGAAAACCAATTCTTTTGGAACAAAGTAGTTGGAGAAGAATAAATATAATTCGGAAACCTATCATCCTCAGCTACATCAAGATTGATCCCATCAAAAAATACATAAAGGATAGATCCCTGAAATTATTTGCGAAATCTGATAGACTTACCAACACCGCATTTTTAAATCTCAGAATGGTTACCGGCTCCTCGGTGAGGTATGCAGATCTGAGGTCATTTATTGCTTAGTCAATAGTCAATGAAGTGATAAACAATAATCTAGTCAAGGTGTAAAGAGGGGTTTTGAAGAAACCTCGAGTTCAAAAAGAGTATAAGTGCTTAAGTGCACTAGCTTAAAACAGCTTCAACATAATAATATCATTTTATATTGATCTTTGTAACCTTTTTATTGCATATAGTTATTGTTTGGTAAAAAATAATATATACAACCACTCAGGTGATCTGTTTTGCTTTTTGCCAACAATAGGACTTTTAATCTGCTATTAAAGTATTTATTCATATTTATGTAGGTCAATTAGTCTGTTTGCAATCTAACTAGATAAATACACCTATAGATGAGTGACTATAATATCCTCAAAATATCCTTTAAAGTTTCTGTTTAGTTTTTCTCAATTTAAGAATACAATAAAACAATAAAAAAATAAAAATAATATTACTTGGTGCAATAGAAACTAAAACAATTAGAACAATTTAAGTATATTAAATATAAAAGGATATGCACAAGGAAAATCATTTACAGTAAATCTTTAATAGAATTGAAAGATTTTGTAAAATTTTAACAAATTTGTTATAATATTTGAAAAAATTATTATTTTAATTTAAAACATATATTTTAACTTAAATTATTATTAACTTAACTTGCTACTAAATAACTAAAGTCCTTTGGATTGTTTGTGTTAAGATGAGTTTTCACTACTTACGTTAAAACTATGCATTTGCTCATTATTTGTTAATAATTTTAACTACTTTTAATGCAATTTTCTTCGTAATAATAAACTTATTCGCTAATAGTTTGAAATTTGTGGCTCAGCAATTGATTTGGAAAATTTTAGTTGAATCCGATGTGCGTATCTTTACTTATTCTTAGGTAGGTGACGTTTCATGTGCAGTGCCAGATGATCGCTGCGTGCAAAGCTACGCTCGCAGACGACACATTTGAAAGGCTTGGCGCCGGTGTGTTTCCGATAATGCCTTGTCAGTTCGTCAGAACGCGCAAATCGCCATTCACATTCCGGCCATTGGCATGTGTAGGGTTTTTCGCCTGAAATACAAAAAATAAAAAATTTGTAAAATAAAATGAAATTATTTAACAATTCAGTTGAAAAAACGTTTCTGAAACAGCATTTATGTAAGAATTTCAAATAATTCAAGCAATTATCTTAACTCATTCTAAACTACCTATTTCATGCAAATGATACACTGCGAAAACTCCGAAATTGTGAGCTGAAAATACAATAAACAATATTTGACGTATGCGCGGTGATTATACACCGTAAAGAATTCAGTGTTGTCTCTCCTAAAATGCGAAAAAAATTTATGATTTTTTGTAATTTATTTGTGCAAATTTGCCATAATTTTGCATTTACTGTACAGTACAGTATGTTGTACTGTGTGCTGTACTGTGTGTCGTACAGCAAATAATATAGCATAAAAATACAAAATAAGCAAGAAAAAATGTCAGAATGACAGCGCCATGACATGCATGCTAACAATGTCGTCTGCCTGTCTATCCGTACTGATTGGTTCGCCAACGTCTTGCCTCGTATGCGTGCCTTACAAGTCTCCGATATTATTCCATTGGTCTTGTGTATGTCATCAACACCTGGAGTGTTGGCAACCAAATATAGCAGATTTTTTTCTTTAAACAAAATTGCTAAGCAAACTGCAGATAAACACATCAAAAGAATTTTAAAATCCGCCAAGCGGTAATTATTTCAGAAACTATGAAATTACCGAGAAGTATTTGCAGAAAGATGCTTGCAAGAAGATACTCGCACTGCCGGTGATGAAGACAATCATTTCTGTTTTCAACTTAAACTAATGATCGTAATTTGCACGAAAATTACACGAGACTTGCGTAACACCCCCAACGTTAAAGGAGCATTTTTAATCATTTTTTAAAATCATAACTCATTTCCCAAAGGCGCTTCATTGGAAATAAAGAAGTCATTCTTATAAGTTAAAGAAACGAATACTGTGAGGTTATGATGCCCCATTTTGAAGTTGTACTTCAAACATACATCAAGGTGCAAAATAGTAAAAGATCAAAAAATTCTCAGTATCAGTTACAACCAAGAGAAAAGACCACTGACTGATTTTTTTCCAATGTCATAGTTTGATATATTCATAAGTATTGCTTAATATCTGAAGATTGTGCAAAAACTAAAAGAAGAAAAAAATAAAAAGAAAGTACATAGCTAGGTAGGTTGGAGTGGAGACTTTGTTCCCAAAAAGCCTACTTGAGCTCAAATAATGGCCTACTATGGCACCACAGGAATAACATTGATACGTACATAGATTAAAAGATCAGTACACGACCAACTCCAACCAACCTGACAATTCTATGAATTTGACAAAATCCCTAATATTACAGGATGACAGCTCTGACAGGTCGGTAAGAAAAGGGGGCCCGAAGATTTTTGATCTTCTCCTAGCTAAAGACGAGCACTGACACATGAGATAGAGCACGGTCTTCTCCTCATATTCAGAGTGACAGCCACAACAAGAGTCATTATAGGGTAGACCCAGTGTCATACCATGCTTTTCTATTGCGTAGTGGCCCGTCAGCACAGTTACCGTGGAGCTGAGCAGATTCAGTCTTATTTGAAATAGCTGACTAGTGCATTTTTTGTCCAAATTAGACCAAGTCAACCTATATATCTGACAATAGGACTCAACAGCCCAGTATTGCTTTACTATACTCAGGTACTTTTGTTTGCCAATTTAACTGTAGCAAGTAATAGAAAGAAAGTAAAAAGTAGTATTTACAAAATATCACACCATAACTGAATGATATACTGAACTAAATTATGTTTGTATATATTACGAAATAAACTCTTTCACGTCAGTTACGCAAGCAGTCTTTTCCCAACTTGATCAATACATATATTACGGAGCAGTTAGATTAAACTGCAACTTTCATGGAACAGCTATATGTTTTGAACTGATGACAATACTACCTCATTTCATCTGTTTGTAACTAGGATCTCTATTTGTTCACATTTCTGTAAAAGCTCTCTCTCGCAAGAACCACTTTACAGCGTACAAGAATACACAGTAGATCTGACTTCTTAATCACGAAAGATTTGATTTTTTATAAATACCACATTACAACTTCATCACTTCAACTCTAATAAAGTTGTTTCAACTAAATTAAAACTTCAAACTCATTTAATTTTTTTTTTTATTAATTTACAACTGCGTGAGCGCTGGATTATAAATTAAAATTATTAAAAAATCTCAATGTCTTAACATTTTCGAATTTTGTTGCTGCAACAAGACACGTGCAACAATGTTTATTGCTTTAATGCACCTTTTTTCTTTTAAATTTATTTTTAACCCAAAATTTAATTAAATTCACGAAAAGTATTTACATAAATAACCATAAATACATCATTACTGCTGGCGTTAGTTAAGAAGTATGTCAGCCTGTTTGTCTGTTTGTCATTTTGTCAGTTTGTCTCTGTACTTTGCTGACTCACTGTAAGTCCAAAAGATTTGTTTTTTGTTGCTGGCGACTTGGACTCATTCATGACTTCGGCACGTTTGGCGCATTTGGTGCATTTAAAATTGTTAATCGTTTTAATTTGTCTTTTTGGTTCTACTTAAAATTATAATGAAGAAAAAAAATTATTTTCTAGGTCCAGTTTTCGAATTTTTGAATTTTAAGTCCGTATTTCTGTTAAATAAAATTACATTATAAATAATTAATGAAATTATAGCTGTTATTGCATGCAATTTAGTTATAAAATTAATGGGTTTCCACTCGATCTCGGTGAAGGTCAGATATTGCTTAATAATGCTATGCAGTTACAATTTTAGAATATTTTAGAATATTTGAAATACTGGAAAGGTTTTCAAAATTTGAAGATATATAAATCCATTTTGATAATATTTACCAAGTAAATAAAAGATGGTTAAGGAGTGATGAAATGTCTGTTTTTTAAAGATTTTAAAGGTTTAATATACAAATTTCAATATTTTTAACATTCTATGTTGTAAGCACTTTCGCATTTCACGTAAATCCGTTTTTCATTTACTTTCACTTTTAGAACCATATTTAGTTTGGGATCCTTAGTACAGTGAATATTGTTAAAAAGTTTGAAGAGTTGTGCCTTCGCCAACAAGAAACTTTATTACAGAAACTTGTTTTAGGAAAACGTACACTTAATCTAAAATATAGAACTTCAGAAGAACTTTGAAGTTTATTATATAATTTTGGTTCTTATGAGACACTAGACTGTTAGACGAAATGTGAGTGGACAAATATGGTTCCATAGCAACACCCATAGATCATATCCGTATCTGTCAGAAAAACAACACCATAAGTTTTGTTATACCACTTAAGGAGTACAATCATATGAGTCCATAGATCTTAATTTCTCTCCACAACATCTGCAAGATTTAAATCAGCCAAGTGCTTATATTCATTGGATTTATTGGAATTGGATTAATTGTAAATTACACATCACACTTAATAAACTTGCAAGAAAACCAGTTTAAAATGTGGAACTTCTGTTTCATATTTTTATTAGATATATGACTACTTCTACGTTATGTGTCTATATCCTTGGCGGAGGAAGATAGGTTATATATAGATAGATAGGATACGAGGAGTGTGAAGTCATCCATTGCTATTCCAAAACAAAAAAAAACCGACAGCAGTCATAAAACTGCAACGATGACAAATAAAAACATACATGTTGAAAACTGTAGTCAATTGACGAAATAACGACAAAAAACAGACATTTAAGCTTAATGCTCTAGACGGCCTCTTGACGAAATAACAAATCGGTAATCCCGAGAGGCCAAACCGTCAGATATCATAGTCATTTTACTTTAGGAGGTTGAGGTCTCATACTGACTGATCTATCGATTGCTTTACACCTCGTTACAAAAAAAAATCAAAGTAATATGTAGATAGCTAGGCTACGAGGACTTTCTAACTAAATAATAGAGGATAGTATACCTACTTCCACTTTACTTTTCTATATATTTGACGTTGATAGACAAGCGTTAGATGTTTAGATAAGTAAAACTCACTACCAAGCTTATGAGTCAACTTTGAGAGTAATTTTTTACCATTTGATCTTATAACTTTTAGCAAGAGTGTAATTGGTAATATGTAATATAATAGCATAAGTTTCGTATATATATAATGTATTTATTATTTTTGTCGACATTTTTCATTACTATGTACCTATTTCCAGTTTAATAGTTTTCTTTATCATGTTTGATTTTAAATAAACAAAAAGTCATTAATTTAATTAGGCAAAATGAGAGATATCTGAGCCATATTGTTAATAACCCGAACGATCTAGCATCTTACAATTTATCTCAAGAATCTCGAGAACTTATAAAATTCCGAAAAACAGAACTTGGTTTAATAAAAAAAAAACAGGATTCATAAAATAGTTCTGAACAATAGAGGTGTAGCATTGTGAGCCTTATTTCCAGTCTAAAAAATATGAAAACAATGTAATAAGTTTTATAACATTATGATTAAAATTATTAAACTAACATTAAAAAAGGACTTTTTGTTATGATAGTTCACTACTTTTCGAAACCTCTCTATAACATATTATAATTTAAATAATATGTAAATTATATATTTATATATATATAAATTATAATTTTATAATTTTGTTCTTAAATAAATAGAGACTTAAACTGAATTATCTATACACATATCTCACAAAGCGTTTGTGCCTATCTCATAAGCCATTAAGCGTGTTTATTAAATATATAAAATATTAAAAATATAGATAAATTCATATTTCTCACATTTTAAAATAATTAATAAGATTTGGTTTTAATCCCCTGCATCAAATTGGGTTACGAAGCTAAAATGTCAGCTTAAGATGATGTCAGTAGTATAAAATTTCATTGGATTTTGACAGACTACCCAAACGCAACCTCAAATATTAAAGTCGAAATTTAGGTGCATGGATTTACTACACAGTAGTCGGTTGGATTTCATTTAAGATTATTTATTTCGCAATATTTGCGAAAATATATTTTTTTATGGTTCATTACTTTGTT